ACTACAGTGTTTTCAGTTAACACTAAAGACCCATATAAAAGGATGTTTCTCAATTATGCTTTCTTCAGTTACACATTCAAGCACAAAGTAGGACACTCAGCAGCTTTATGCTTAGACCGATATGCTTATATAACATGATTATTTTTCCAAGTAGCAAAAGGAGAAAAAGTGTGCTCAATTATCCAAAATGAAGTAGATGAATCATAGATAAAGGCAATACCTTTTCTCAGCTGCTGAACTGGTGTTTTTCTCAAAACAAATGATACAGACTCGGCCATAAACTCTCGGACATAATCTTTTGGATAGTATCTCAAGTTTGCAGTAACTCTGCAAAATATAAAGAAGGAACACGGAGCAAAGATAAATATTTCCATATTAGGAAACCTAACAGATTCACATCACTTCTCATAATGCCTTTTAGTTAAACAGTAAAATGAATGACAGAAATTCCTATACATGTTAAAGAACCAGCAACATCTTTCACACATTTAAGACCTTACATGTCCTTCCTAACCATCTATGTACTTAGAATCAAATAAAATTTATTTAATAAGGGTTGTATTCGTATGGGATTTTGAATGACATTTTGAGACTATTTGAAATTTTAGACTTTTAAAGATTTTTAAATTTAGGAGGAAACCTGCGAAATATTAAGTTCGGAGGCAAGATATGAAGTGGGATATGGCATATGGTTTTATTAAGCAAGAAAATATTAAAATTCATAACAAATCTCAGTCTCAAATAAAGTTAAATATCTCATGATTTTGTAAGACTTTCTAAACTCTCAAATGAACACATCGAGACTTTTAAAAAGCCTTTAAAAAACTTAAAAAATCTATTCAACTCTAGAGACTTTTCAAGACTTTTAGAATTTTGGTGTGTTCAATTAGGACTTTTTGACACTTCTAAAGAGTTCATGTATTCAATTGAGACTTTTATTGATTTATTATAAATCTCTAAAAGTCCGGAGTATTCAATTAGAACTTTTTGGGAGTCTATCACCCATTATTAAAATTATAAAAACTTTATGAGATTTTTTAAATTATAAGACTTTTAGATTTTGTAACAAAATTACAAAGACAGAGCTAAAGCAGAAATCTCATCCAATTTAGAAATCTCATCCAATTTGTGTGGTTTGCTGGACTAATGTGACTCACTTCATACTCTTTTAATGAAGATGACTTTATATATCATGTCACTTTCATACTTTGTTAATTTACACAATTATTTTGATAGCTTGTATGTATAATTCATAACAATTAACTACTAATATCAACAAAAATGAGCTAGTTTAAAAAATATATATATAAATATTAAGCCAAATTGAGTTGTAATAATAAACATCAGCTATTCAAAACAAGAAAAAAATGGTTTTGTAGAAAAATCATCTCAAAATTATGAATAAACCTTATAATTGTTATTCTTTTTTTTCTTTCAAATTGGAATTGTTATTCGAACTGAGCCATTCACGAACAACTTAATTAATGTTTTAGGTTTATAACGAGAAAGCCAATCCAAGCTTTCACGGTCTTGAACGAGTCGAACTCGAGCAGGGCTTTATATTCGCTTGTTAAATAAGCACCAGTTCAAACATGTGCTACACATATCTGCTCCAGTGATACTTATAATCAGCCCATTCAAGATATATTTAACTAATTGTAGATTTATTTCATTTTTTATATTTTTTTAATATTATTAGAATATATTTTTACAAGACACAACATTGTCAAAAGACAATAGCTTTATCATCTAATAAACTCTTAGCATATAGAAATTTACAAACAAAAAAGATAGAACAAATAAATTATTGGCATGTGCAAACTATGCACATTTAGCCTTTGAAAAGGCAAATTCATAAGCAAGCAAAATGAGAGAATAAAAGTATACACACATAAAAATAATCACTAAAAAATAAATAAAAGAAAAGTCACGTTATATATTCGTGAGATTTCTGCTAGAGCTTTGTTTTTGTAATTTGGTTATAAAAGTCACCAAAAGTCTTAAATTTCAAAAGTCTCATAAAATCTTCAAATTTTGAATATTGAGTAACTTATACACTCGAAGAAAGTTTTAACTGAATAGCTTGAGACATTAGAGACTTATAAAAAATCTTTAAATTGAATACGCCAAAATTTTAGAAGTTTTCAAAATCTTTAGTTAAAATTAAATACACCCTATTAATGTTATTTTTTATTTTTTCTTATTTTTTTTGCTATGGTTATTTTATGTGTACTTTTATTCTCTAAGTTTGCTTACTTGTGAATTTGACTTTTTAAATGTAAAATGCTTGTATAATTTGCACATGCCAATAATTTATTTGTTCTTCTATATTTATATATAGATAATAAGAATAACCATTTACTAAAAATAGTAGCCAAAAAATTTACGAGCATTTAATGCATGCCTTCTTAGGAAACTTTTTAAATATATGCATTAATTGTTTGCATATACATGTTTCCAAATTAGATCAAATCATATATAATAAAAAATATACTTTCCTTTATTATTAACATCTGCAATAATTTTATTCATATTTATTATAATAAACCACGAAATTGATTTTCTATGATTCATGTTGATAATATTTTTGACAAAAATAAACATAAAACCATATTTTAAGTTCTAACAATATTATTATGTTTTTTCACAAATATTGACTTTTCATTCTAACATGATTATAGAAAATCGGAACAGGAGGTAAACTTTTTTCTTTCAATTAAATAAGTTAAATCAAGTTAGTGAATTAATTTTTACCAATATAATTTTTTCTTAAATTTTATTTCGTTATATATATAAATTATTCTTCAAATTAATATAATTTGCCATTTAAGAGATAATTAGTATATGCATTAAACAATTTTACTAATGGCCAAATAATAAAACTAAAATTTATCAACCATTCTTTAAAATTGCAACATGTGATTTATTTGTATATTATGTCAACCAAGATTAATTTTTTATCTTTTTTTTTTATTTTGATTTCTCTCCATAATGAAATTCTTATAAAATATATTTTCATAGCACAGTATCAAATCTTATGATGCAAATTAGTAAAATCTCTCGATTATAAAAGGAATATAGTTTTTAGCAATTACTAAATTAAAGTCGTTTAATTATTATTAAAAATTAAATACTAAGATAACATGTGTATATTTTGTAAAATAGTTACACACAATAATTTATTTTGAATTTATTTACGTAATTTAATTTCACTACATTAATAATTAATATTAACATACGTTAAATATCTATCATTATATAAAATCAAAAGAACAAGAATACTACTTCTATAACTTATATATATATATAAATAAAAATAAAAAATATTAAAAAAAACTATAATGACTTTATATGACAAAGAATTCTATAACAAAATAATTAATCAAGTATTATATAGTTACAAGAATATGCAAAACTGTTATTTTTCTTATATCAAAGAATAAATATATATACAAAATTCAAAATTTATATTATTATAAACATTTCATCAGGATAATATATCAATTTATTTACAGACTACGGCTAATAAGCTCAAGTTTAACATATTAACTAGCAAAATAACGCTGATTAAAAGAGGTAGAAAATAAATGATCCAATTATATTATGGTTCAGTCTAAACGCACAAACCGACTCATTTAACATGTTGCATCGCACGAGCTACGTACTAATTTATTTGACAAGAGTTAGTTTATTTATACATAATTATTCTAAGTATTATTGATAAATTTAGAATATACAATTATTGTCTTTTGAAAATATTTGTGCCTTGTAAAAATATATCCTAATAATATTTTTTTAATATTTCAACATGCTGCAAAAAAATAAAAAATAAAATTAATCAATGATTAGATTAATATATCTGAATTGAGTTGATTATAAGTGTAGCATAGATGGGTAACACATGTTTAAGCTTGTGCTCGTTTATGATAGAGATTAGAAAAGTAAATCATGAGAAGGAAAGCAAGAATGGAATAAAATATCTAATGCAGAATCAAGGAATTGACTGAAATCATGAGATCCTACTTGGCATGAAAGGCTATCAAATTGTTATCATATTTCTTTTTTATAACTATTACCTTAAATAAATAGTATGCTCATAAAGGGTTGTGAGGAAGTGATGATTAGGTATCGAGAGAAAAATATTGTTTGTCAGCTTTTTAGCTTGGGCGGGATTATTTCCCAAAGAGAACTCCGTCTTAGAGAACCTTGTGTTCTTTTTCTTTTGTTTTTAATTAATAATATTTAGTTTCTTTTACATTCGCCCTTTACTCCTATCAGTTTAACAAACGAATATAAGGTCATGCTCGAGTTCGACTCGTTGAAACTCGTGAAAGCTCGGATCGGCTTGCTCGTTTAATAAATTTTAAACCTCAAACAAATTTTTCGTGAATAGCTCAGACAATTCTAGGGTTGATTCATTATTTTTTTATGATTAATCTACAAAAACTTTTTTTTTTTCTTTATTCTTATTGAATAGCTAATGTTTACTATCATAACTCATTTAGGGTTTAATATTTTTCTTTAAAGAAAAAACTAGCTTGACTTAAATAATATTATTTGTTATGCATTGTTCATGAACATTTCACTCAAACATAATACTATACCTACAAATATATAAAAGTCTTAACAAGTTTCAAAAAGCCCATAATGAAAGTCTTAAAAAGTCTCAAAGAAAAATTCTTTAAAAGTCTCAAAATCGTCCATCAGCTTGAAAGTTTTACAAGGTCCAGAAAAGTCACTCAATATAAAGTCTTTATGAATCTCAATTAAATATACTCCCTAAATACACCCGGATTTTCTAAAATCTTAAAAAGTCTTTAGAAATCTCAACCAAATACACCCCCACAGATTTTTCTGAGATTGAACTGTGAATTATGTGAATTATAGCATCGTCCAGTTATAGCATCTGAGTTTATCATTATATAGAATTATAGTACATATTTAGAAAGAAAAGATAAAACATAAAATTGTTCAAAACCCTTATATAGGGTGTAACCTACCTTAGAACATATCCAACATCCTTCATAAGATACTTCTGCAGGTACATCATGATATATGACCATGACGTAAATATCTGCAATCAACAATCACAACCTTCAAAGATCATATGCTCCCATAAATAATGCATCAATTATACTAACAGAATATATAGAAAGATTCCAAGACCTGCTCAATTATCTCAGGGTCCCTGTCAGCACCACTTTCAAGAAGAGCGCCAAAGGAATCAGCAATTCTTTGAAGAAAGCTGCAAAACAATAAATCAATAATAACAATAAATTATTGTTGAGTGGCAAAATATAGTGACATTATCAAGCTTTCTAATCAATCGTAAATTTCAGTGGTTGATTCTCAAATAAAACTAGCACTAACACCCTACGTCAATGGAACCAATCAACATAACTTGATCAGCTATTGGAGGATTTTAGGGTGAGTATAAGCGCAAGCCAAGCTCACATTCAGCTTCTCAACCTGCTAAGCTCAAATTAACTCCTTGTAGTCCTTTATAATCGTATTCTTAAAATGATCATTGATGGAAGGAAAATATCTAAAGATGGGCATGGACTTTTATCAAACTACATTTCAAATGTATTTTATAACTTATATAATAGGAAAGAAAGCAACGACAGTCATGCTCATGTTGAATGAATCCTTATTATTTGCTCATGCAGTGCCACCTTGGTAAGTAATGTAGTAAGGAAAAGAAAAACACAAAATGTATATATATGTGTGTATATATATATATTTATATATACATATGTACGTATACATAGGAAAGGAAGGCTTCTTAATGATCAAACATCTAATTGGAGAGAGTTAGGCATCCAATACATCATACAAGTTGATTGAGAGTTAGGCATCTGGGATGCTGATACATCATACAAGTTGATTTTTTTTTTCAAAGCAGATCATATTGCAGTACAACTTTGCCCATGGGAGTGGTTTAGATACAACAAGCCAGTGATTTCTATATCACCTAAGGTGGGGGAAAAAGATAGCAGAACCATTATTATAGCAATGCATCGTATTATAGAAATTAGAAAGTAAAAGGGGGGCACAAATTTACCAAAGCCCCAAATCCCAATATATACCGAAGACGCCTGACAACGGAGATACAATGATATACTGCAAAATAAGGAATCCAAGAAAGAAGAAAACTTACGGTATGAAATCCTCCAGTAAATCTCTTGATAAAGCAGCAATTAACCTAGAACACAAAATAAGATGCCAATCATAAATAACAAAGGTAAATGAATAATTAGAATATCTCAGTCTGCGGAAAAATATAGGCGGATTTACATCTCTGCCGAAAACATGGTAAGGAATATGCATTATTAGAATATCTAATTAAATAAACAGGATATGACATGCTTGATCCAACATTAAAATCCTCACTTCTGACCCATTTAAAATGCAATGGCACAAGATAACATGTTTCTCATTAGTTTCAAAATTAATAACTTCTAACGACACAACACTCCCATACATACAAAAATCTACCCCTTACAATATACAACATCCCTAGAACTGAAAATTCCAGTAATCAGCATGAACAGTTATGCAAAATTGATCCTTTTAAGCTGTCCATGGGAATTAAAAATTGAGACAGTTGTAAATATGCTGATAAGTAAGAAATCAGCATGTATACAGTAACCAGTGCCACTGAGTTAAAACGGAATATTCAAAATCAACCAAAACCTAGTAACATTTGCACATTCAGGATACCATATTAAACAGCATTAAGGCATACAATGAGGAACAAAGCAGCCGTAGTTATAGAAGAATAACTATAAAATGAATCTGCATACATTCAAAGATGCGGTGAAGCACACAAGAAAAGAATGAGCCTTCTTAGTCATCTTTATTCAATATGAGAAAAGCAACCATTTCACATTCTTTTTCAATTTCCAAGACAAATAAATACCTCAATATAGGTTCTTGTGATAACCTCGCTTCCATTGTCATTCTAGACAAAAGGCTCGAAAGTATAAAATCCTTTTGCAAAATAATTTGAGGAAGAGTTTGAACTAAAGGTAACAATTCCTCATAAACAGCTATAAAATCCTCTGCGGTGTTCAACTCCTGCAAGGCATAACAGAAATGCGTGACGAGGTGGTCCAGACAACATCTAAAAGCTCCATTTGTCGTATCTTATGTACAGAAATTCAAAACTAGCCTATAAAATAACATTAAGCAACTTGTAATATCACAAGGATATTCAAATGATTGTTTAGATAGTTTCTACGAAACACCCTCATGTCATGAAGTTATTCATTCCCTATAAATGGAGATTACAACTTTTCTAAAGAAGGCCCTTGATTCGAGCAGAACAACATATTTTTCTTATACTCAGCCTTATCCATTAAAAGAATTCTTTCAACCCAAGCACCTCTTCTACGTCATCTAATTCGAACACCTTTTGAGTTGCAAGATCAAAACTTCATTTATACAACAGTTTTGACTTCAGCTGGAACATTCAAAAAGAACATGTTGAAAGGAATAGATACCGCACCCTATATT